CCATCACTTTCCATCAGTCTAAAAGCTTTTATCCCTGCAGTATGAACAGCTGATTCTATCACTCACACTATTAACATATAGTATACACACACACACACACACACACACACACACACACACAAACACACAATCAAGGAGTCACACACACACGATCATAGAGTAATGTCCATTCAATCACAGCGCACACTCAACACACACACAGCACACGTGTGTACACACACACACGAACACACACACACACACACAAACCTTCAGGTCTTGCCCTTATTGTGTTTCCCAGTCTCTGGTTTCACCCTGACACATGGTAATAGATTCCGCTGTAGGGCTGCGGCGCTGCTAAGTGGGGGAGAACGCTCACGTTTCACTGAAAACAAATCGCTCTTTTCTTTTTCTCTCTTCTCTTCTCGGCCCTGACCTTCCCTACCTCCCTCTCCTCATCTGTCCATCCTGTCTCTTCCCTTACACTCCTTTATCCCTCCCTAGTTCCTCTCTCACCTCGTTCCCTCGGGTCCTCTCTTCTTCCTCTCCGTCACTCACTCCATCCTCTCATTTTCCCCTCGGTGTCCACTATTTCTCTAATCATTCCCCTCGTAACACTTTAGAACATGTTAGATTCAACACTAATGCAGAAAGAGAGGCTGTACACAGATCTCTGTACCACCTACAAGTGAAGCTTGACAAAGAAAGTGAGCAAAAGCAATGGTGGAAATGTTGTCAGCTATGCTCACTTTGAAACAAAATGTCCCTATTTGGGGGCTTAAAACAGAGTATGACTCTGTATCTTTCTTTTTTATAAGCCTGCTGAGCTAAATCCCTAGGCATTATCTTGGGAAGCTAACGCAACTCGACACACAGTTGCTCTCCAGGACCGGAGATGGAGCCCCCTGCAGTGGAGGCACCTGCTGTCGTCCTGTGGAGGAGCAACACTGCCCCTCAGTGGTCTCATGGTGTAACAGCAGAGAGAGAGATCCCACTATAAAGTCTCTTCATATGCTTTACCTTACAGCACCATATTCATATCAGGGGCGCAACTTTGGCTTTAGAAGTGGGGGGACATAATATATATATATATATATATTTTTTTTATCCAGTCAGATGAACATTCCAAACAGCCTACCCGACCGCTCTGAGGCGTACGCATGGTCCTAAAGCACACCGTTGCCTCGTTTTGTATCACATTCCAATAATAAAACTGAGGGAGACAAAAATGCTATTTCTGAATGTGGGGGGGACATGTCACCCCGTCCCCAGTGGAAGTTGCGCCCCTGATTCATATAGTAATTAGAATATAATGAAATGGTAAGTGCATAAAAGTTACAGAACAATTTGCCATTGAATATTATCAGCATTTAAAGAATCTTTGGTCTTCTGGGGAAATAGGCGTCAAAAAGAGAGAGAGAGGTGCGGAAATGTTGAGTTAACGCATTACTCATGGTAGATTAGTCATTAGTAATTAGTACTGCCTCTGACAACCAGCCAGAGACAGATTAGATTTGACATTTGAGTCCTTTAGAAGAGGCTCTGACCCAGACTGACAAATAAAGAGGCTGAGCCAGAGAGGGACAGAGAGAGATGAAGACAGACAGACAGACGGACAGACAGACCGTCACAGGGAGAAAGAAAGACACACAGACGGACGTAGAGACGGACAGAGATATAAAGAGAGAAAGAGAGACAGACAGACTGGATTTTCAGGACCATCAGGAATGATGAATGGATAGGAAAGGAACACACCGTCCCTCATTCACCACACACACATACGCGCACACACACATACCCTGTCTCGGTCCAGAGACTCCGTTCAGACAGAGAGAGAGAGAGTAGTGAATAGCTGGATGCTCTCAGTTTGGATGTTCTCCTCCCAGCAACAAGTCTAAACCACAAATCACACACACACACACACACACAAACAAACAAACGCACGCATGCACACATGAGCACACACACACACACACACACACACAGTGCATTCGGAAAGTATTCAGACCCGTTGACTTTTTCCACATTTTGTTACATTACAGCCTTATTCTAAAATTGATTAAATATTTTTTTTTCTCATCAATCTACACAACATACCCCATAATGACAAAGCGAAAACAGGTTTTTAGAAAAAATAAATAAAAATTAAACAAATAAACAAAAATACCTTTTTACATAGGTATTCAGACCCTTTGCTATGAGACTCGAAATTGAGCTCAGGTCCATCCTGTTTCCATTGATCATCCTTGAGATGTTTCTACAACTTGATTGTAGAGTAATGTGGTAAATTCAATTGATTGGACATGATTTGGAAAGGCACACACCTGTCTATATAAGGTCCCACAGTTGACAGTGCATGTCAGAGCAAAAACCAAGCCATGAGAACGAAGGAATTGTCCGTAGAGCTCCGAGACAGGATTGTGTCGAGGCACAGATCTGGGGAAGGGTACCAAAACATTTCTGCAGCATTGAATGTGCCCAAGAACACAGTGGCCTCCATCATTCTTAAATGGAAGAAGTTTGGAACCACCAAGATTCTTCCTAGAGCTGGCCGCCTGGCCAAACTGAGCAATTGGGGGAGAAGGGCCTTGGTCAGGGAGGTGACCAAGAACCCGATGGTCACTCTTAAAGAGCTCCAGAGTTCCTCTGTGGAGATGGGAGAACCTTCCAGAAGGACAACCATCTCTGCAGCACTCCACCAATCAGGCCTTTATGGTAGAGTGGCCAGACGGAAGCCACTCCTCAGTAAAAGGCACATGACAGCCCGCTTGGAGTTGACCAAAAGGCACCTAAAGACTCTCAGACCATGAGAAACAAGATTCTCTGGTCTGATGAAACAAAGATTGAACTGTTTGGCCTGAATGCCAAGCTTCATGTCTGGAGGAAACCTGGCACCATCCCTACGGTGAAGCACGGTGGTGGCAGCATCATGCTGTGGGGGATGTGTTTCAGCGGCAGGGACTGGGAAACTAGTCAGGATCAAGAGGGAAAGATGAACGGAGCAATGTACAGAGAGATCCTTGGTGAAAACCTGCTCCAAAGCGCTCAGGGCCTCAGACTGGGGCGAAGGTTCACCTTCCAACAGGACAACGACCCTAAGCACACAGCCAAGACATTGCAGGAGTGGCTTCGGGACAAGTCTCTGAATGTCCATGAGTGGCCCAGCCAGAGCCCGGACTTGAACCCGATCGAACATCTCTGGAGGGACCTGAAAATAGCTGTGCAGCGACGCTCCCCATCCAACCTGACAGAGCTTGAGAAGATCTGCAGAGAAGAATGGGAGAAACTCCCCAAATACAGGTGTGCCAAGCTTGTAGCGTCATACCCAAGAAGACTCAAGGCTGTAATCACTGCCAAAGGTGCTTCAACAAAGTACTGAGTAAAGGGTCTGAATACTGCAAAAAAATTCTAATATCCAGTTTTGCTTTGTCATTATGGGGTATTGTGTGTAGATTGATGAGGGGAAAAAAACAATTTAATCCATTTTAGAATAAAGCTGTAACGTAACAAAATGTGGAAAAAGTCAAGGGGTCTGAATACATTCCGAATGCAACATCACTCCTCAGCCCTGTCACCAGTGTCATCTCGACAACATCACTCCTTAGCCCTGTCACCAGTGTCATCTCCACAACATCACTCCTCAGCCCTGTCACCAGTGTCATCTCCACAACATCACTCCTCAGCCCTGTCACCAGTGTCATCTCCACAACATCACTCCTCAGCCCTGTCACCAGTGTCATCCACAACATCCAGTATTCCCATGCCCATGTCTTTCAACTCCTCCTCTCCAATCTCCCTTCTCCTCTCCGCACTCCTCTCCTCTTTCAACTCACCCTTTTCCTTTCCTCTATCCATTCTCCTCTCCTCTCCTCTCCCTCCTCCTCTCCCTTTTCAACTCCCCCTCTCCCTCCTCCTCTCCTCTTTCAACTCCCCCTCTTCTCTCCTCACCCGTCATTTCAAAACGCCTTTCTGACATCACAGCGTAGGACAATCAGTGTGTCCAGTACACCGTCATCTTCCTGTGTGATTAAGCTTAGTGACAGGCCGAAAAAAAACTATTTTATAGACTGAACATTACTCTTTTTGACTGCATCTCCCTTTGAGGTGCATCACACAACACTGTCTGTCTGCATCTGATGATTATATGTGTGTGTGGGTGGGTGTGTTTGGTGATGCTGTGTGTGAGTGTTTATTTGTGCGTGAGGGTCTGTTGGCCAGATTCAAGCTAACCTCTGCCCTTTGCAAACAAATAGTGTGTAGTATTTTCGAGCATGTGTGCCTTTATCAATTCATGTCTATTATTAACAGTGTGTGTGTGTGTGTTTCTGAGTCTGCAACGTTTTCATTGTGTGTGTGTGTGTGTGGCCTGGGCCAACTTTGTGTTGGAGACAGGCTTTTGGCCCTCCTGCGTCAGAGGGCCTTTCTCTGTGGGCCCCTGAGCAAACACATTAAGAGGAATCTTATCACTGCTTATACAGCGGGGCGACGCGCTGACACACACACACTCGCAAACACACACAATGGCGAGCCTGACGCCAAACACGCCAAATGTCATCACGCCGCTAAAGGAAGGAGCGGGCGGGATCACAAGAAATTAGCAGCCCCCTCATTGGGCAATGACGAGGTGTTGGTTTGGCCCGTCATGAAGGAACCGTTGGGTTTATAAAGAGAGGATGGGACAGGTCTACAGTTAGAAACGACAAGAGCGTAATTCGCACACGCACCTCTGCACACACACACTCTCGACAAGCCTTCTTCACAGAGGCGCATCGGTGCTGAACGACAAGTGTGTGTACGACAAACGAGTTTGAGTGGCTTCAGAGACAGAAATAAAGAAACAGACTTGGACAAGAAGACTAACGGACACCCAAACGATTGTCTGAACACTGACCACCAGGAGACATACAGGTTATCTCAACGTGTAGCTAAAGAAGACGAGGAGACGACAGAGCTAACTCAGCTCTTTGAGACTAAAACGAGACCTTGTTGGTACCCGAAGACCTAAGCTTTAGAACCAGACCAGTACTTGTGGTTGAAGCCCAGAAGCTGCGGTCAGAATTGGTTCAGAAACGGTCAGAAGTTCCGGTAAGAAGGTGCAGTCATGCAGAAAGTATCTGTGGTCCTGTTGGTGGGAGTCCTGATGGTGCTGGTGACTCTGTGGGCTGGAGTGGACACAGCCCCCACCCTGCTCACTGACAGAGGTAAGGAGGTAAGGAGGGAGGGAGGGAGGGAGGGAGGGAGGGAGGGAGGGAGGGAGGGAGGGAGGGAGGGAGGGAGATGGGTCAGAGTCGAGGTATAAAGGGAACATGGAGGGAACATATGATGGAGAGAAAGGATGGAAGAGAATGGAAGGAGGGAGTAGGAAGGAATGCTGAGATTGAGTGGCTGAAGGGAGAGAGTGATGGGATGGGACAGAGAAGGTGAAGGAAGAGAAGGATGGACACATCATGGTTAAGGATGAAGATGGCTGAATGAAAGTATTCAGGGAGAATAGAGGAAGAATTTGTTGCTCACACTCCTCTCTGCCTAGAATAGACTTTCCTCGCCCACACAATGCTGAATTATCCTGTGGGGTATGTACACACACACACAAACAAATGCAAGCAAGCAAGCACACACACACACACACACAAACAAATGCAAGCAAGCACACACACACACACACACACACACAAAGCCGCTCGTGTCCACTCTCAACTCCGACACTAGCTGACATTGGTACGTGGGGATTCCATGGCGTTGCTATGGGACCGTTGTGACGTCAGGGGCGTGTATGACGTTCAGAGGGTATTTTGGTGGCCACATAACAATACGGCTCAGCTGACAGAGTGACCCTCTGAAGACAGGGACAGATAGAAAGCTGAGAAAGGGAAATGCGTCATCATCCTGAATCATTATGAGAGGCATTATGCCAGGTGTTGGATATGACACTGCAGACCAGTGGAGGCTGCTGATGGGAGGACGGCTCATAATAATGGCTGGAACGGAGCAAATGGAATGGCATCAAACACATAGAAACCATATATTTGATACCATTTCACCAATTCCGCTCCAGCCATTACCACGAGCCCATCCTTCCCAATTAAGGTGCCACCAACCTCCTGTGCTGCAGACCACAGAATGTTCATGTGTGTCTGTAATGTTGTCTTTCAGGAGACATACAGCTACCAGGTCCAGCTATGGGCGACTCAATTGTGCAAGAGAGAGCGGAACCATCAACGGTCAACACTTCAAAACTACTGAAGACCATACTGATGACCACCATCCCTGTTGGTCGAGAAAAGACATCCACACCCACCAGCAGTCTGAATAGACGATTGAAGATGAATCCAGTGACGAGCAGCCCAGGTAGACGAGCCCAGATCCTGAAGATGCTGTCGGCGCTGGAGGAACTCAGCAGGACGATCAACAGCACCCGGAGCACACGGATGACCATGATGCCCAGAGGGTCAGCAAACGGCAGAAATTCAGGAAAGAAGAAGAAAGCGGTAAATCAATGCTGTTTGTGTTTATGATATTCCTACCTGCCTTGGGATAGAATAGTTACTTTCACACCAGAATGTGTTTTAGAAAGTATTGAAATCAATGGGAGTGATAGGAGCAACCATTACATTTTCAAAATTGTATGACCAAATCAACTCAACATTGAAATGTTACATTAAAGGTGATTTGGCTCCCTTTTTTTTTACATTGCACTGTTGCCCCATTACGTCCATTGATCGCTAGTTAGCGATTGGCTAAAGTTAGCTGATGTTTGTAATGCAGTTTCTCTTCGCCCGTAGACTACTTTCAGGTTGAGGAACCATCTTACAATAAGTTGTAAACCTGAACTTCTCCTTTATTAAGTATTAAATACTGTACCTGTGATACATCATTTGAAAGGATCCTCCTGCCTGCTTGAAACTGAAGTGTGGCTTCATCTATTCCTGTACTGAAGGTAGCTGCGGCAGATACAGTGAAAACCACCACAGTGCCTCCTGTGGATGTTGGAGGTAACGTCACTGCATCCCGTCCCAGCACTGACGGAATAGACCCCAGCAGCCTGAGTGGCCGAAACTTCAAGAAGTCCCTGCCACCGCAACCCAAGAAGCCCAGCAACAAGAGAGGTGACAGCAAGGGGTCAAAAGTCAATTAGGAAGTGTTTGTCACTGGTTTCCTGTCTTGTCATATTTGTTAATATTTGAAGTTATTTCAACTTTCTAATCTCGTTCTCTTTCTCTCCAACAGTGTGTTTCTGGAAGTACTGCTCCCAAAACTGATCCTCCACAGACCCCTGTAAACATCCATGGTACCCTCCAAACCGACGTTCACCCCATCCTACCCCCACCCTACACCGGGCACTAGGCAACCAACGCGGCGAGGCATTGGAGGCCCGGCGCCACCATTGACCTTTTCATTGGCTCATCAATAACAGTACTGACCAATCAGATTGCCCCACCATCGACGTGTGTACTTGTGCCTATGTGCACGAAAGTCTGTTAACCCTTTATAGAAGAGAAAGCGCTGTGTGTGATCTCTAATAAAGACGACCCAAACATGATAAAACTATACGACAATAAAGACACGTTTATTTTTCTACAGATCCCTCTCTCTCTCTCGCTCTCTCAGTTGTTCATTATGAAATGACCAATATGTCCAAAATTACCAAAATGACTGGAACTGTGTGCAGTTGGCTGCTAAAGACGAGGTTGAGGGCAGATTTATTGCTGTTTTTTGAGTCGCTCACAAGATAATTTGAAAGGGTTCGTGGCATCATCGCAAAGCTCAGACGATTGCCTCAAAGGCTATGTACACATTGGTTGTATAATGTGATGTTACTGGACCGCTTATATTGGTGGTAGAGATTTACATAAGAGATTTACACACTTCTTGCAAAACTCTAGAATTCCTGGAGAGGATGTCCCCATGGTAACCCATGGTGGCACTGTAAACTGCACTTGTTGATATTAGGGCTTTTAAGTTTCGGGTTCCACAGAAGAGTCAGTTGTATCGTTGCCTTGGTGACTGTGGGTGACTGGGTTATTGAGGTTTAAAGGGGAAGTTCATCCCAAATTCAAAAGTCTGTCAGAAGTTGTCATACATCAAAAGATACACAAAACAAGGTAGCAAACATATCAAAGACATATCACTGTTCTGAAATCAGTTTAATAAAGTCTCCTCTGGTGAGGATTATAAGGCGAGTGCACAGGGTTGTGTCAGAATTTGTTTGCTGCATAGAGAGATACAGTACACACTTCCGCCACAATCAAAATGGCTTCCGATTCAACCTGTATGTTCAGGAAGGCCCAATCAGGGGAGCTTCTCAACAGAAAGCCCCACCCACAATCATCCTATGGTCAATAGAATTATATATAAAACGATATCAATGCAGATTTATGAGATTAAAATAATGTTTTTTCATTGGTAACAACATGCCGTGAGTACACATACATTTTGCTTTTACAAAGCATACAAGTAGAAAACAGTCAGACCTTTTTTACTATTGATTATTATTCACCCATAGATAGCCAAAATTAGACAGAGGAGAAACTAAAGAAAAGTGAATTTATAAAGTATATGTATGTTCATTTCTATATATAGGTTAATACTGTGGTCAAGGCCAAAGTGTTGCATATTCATATAATAAGTATGGCGTGTCTACCTGTGCTCTGCTATACCTCCGAGACACAGAGGTTATAACAATCTAATGAATGCTTATGGCTGCTTTAGGACAGTTTTACAATGTTGCAGTGTTAGTAGATAGTACTATGTGTTGTTAGAGTTAGTACTCTAGGTTTCTAACAGTGTTTGTGTCTTAAATGACACCCTATATTATAGTGCACTACAGAGGGCTTTGGTCCAAAGGACTGGATGTGAAATGGATGCAGACCTCTCTGTCTAGTGGTCTTAGATTCACAGCAGGCATGACAATACATATGAGCGCCGTGCAACCCAACCGGGGAGTGCACAAAGACACACACACACACAAACATGCAATTTGGGATTGGGCCTTCTCAGTCTCTTGCTATTTGATTCGTTTGGCCACATCTATGTAGGCGAATTCGATCTCACGCTCGACAGGACAGGTGTTGGTAAACTCTTCCCTCTTGTAGGCGTGGTTCAGATAGCGCCACACCCCCGCCATCTCCGCCGGGATCTCAAAGCCACGGTACTTCCTGGCCACCACCTGGGACAGGACAGAGACACAGGTGATGTCATGAAACAGACCAGGAAGTAGCCTAAACATGGGAATCACTTTGAGAGAAACAAAGCATAACTCATATGGATCAGTGATAGAGGTCAGTGTTGATGTGAGGATTTAGAGGATATAAGTAATTAAAGTAGTACCTTTATAATGTGTGGTTTGGGCAGCAGTACCTTTATAATGTGTAGTTTGGGCAGCAGTACCTTTATAATGTGTAGTTTGGGCAGCAGTACCTTTATAATGTGTAGTTTGGGCAGCAGTACCTTTATAATGTTTAGTTTGGGCAGCAGTACCTTTATAATGTGTAGTTTGGGCAGCAGTACCTTTATAATGTGTAGTTCGGGCAGCAGTACCTTTATAATGTGTAGTTTGGGCAGCAGTACCTTTATAATGTGTAGTTTGGGCAGCAGTACCTTTATAATGTGTAGTTTGGGCAGCAGTACCTTTATAATGTGTAGTTTGGGCAGCAGTACCTTTATAATGTGTAGTTTGGGCAGCAGGTTGCAGTCTGCCAGAGTGAGGTCAGGTCCGTCCAGGAAGCAGCGTGTGGACTCCTGAGGGTCGTCTATGCTGTTGGCATCGATCTCCTCCGGCAGGGGGGTCCTCAGAAATTCATCCAACCGCCTCAGAGACTTCAACAGGGCCTTCTCCAGGCCTACACACACACACACACACACACACACACCCCACACCACACACACACACACACACACACACACACACACACACACACACACACACACACACACACACACACACACACACACACACACGGTATGCAGTGAGTGAACACAGACAGACAGAGATGCACACACACAGACATACATTGTAATCACAGTCAGAGACACGCAGTACACACAAACATGCACACACGCACACACAAACACACACACAAACACAAGCCTTACCGTCGTTGGTATCTTTGCGGGGGTTCTTGATGTAGGCAGAGAACTTGGAGAACACATCTATACCTGCAGTGTTTGACTCTGGGTGTTTAGTCGCCAACTTGGGGTACCTGAGAAAGAGGAAGATATATCAGACATCAGGATTGGTCAGTTGAATCCAGGAAGTGGTAGTTTGATTGACAGGCAATAGACAGGAAGTGGTGGGTGTGTACCGTGGTGGCGTGAGTTTTTCCTCCAGGAACTCTTCTATCTTGTTGACGTCGACCTTCACCTCCCCGTTAAACGTGACGAACGGAGGGTTGGTCCCCGGGGCCAGGTCCTGCAGGTCCGACGGTTTCCTGGGTAACACATTATTGCAGGGTTCTTACAGGGTTATTACAAGGTTCCTGGGTCAGGGTACTTCCATTAGCATCATCCAGCATTAATGGTTGAATGTCTTAAGAAAGTACGTCAAATCGACTTGATCTTGATATAGAACACAATTGATTGATTGATGGATGTATTTGCCGATGCGATGATCCATACCTTTTGAGATCGACTGTGGTGACGTTGAAGATGACTCCCTTCAGCCACAGGATCATGAAGAGGCGCTGGGAGAACGGACAGTTCCCGATGCTCTCACCATCACTGCCAGCCTAAGTAGGAGACACACAAAGGGTTCAGTCCAACTCATATACACACAGTTCAAATACACACATACAACAGGCCCCAATCACAAATGCCCTGGTCATTGTTCCCTGTCTGGTAAAACACACTCCCACACAAGCTGATTCGGCCCTGATGTTCTCTTGCCACTAGAGGTCCTCAACAAACCTGAGAGATCAACAACAAAAACAGCACCAGCAGCAGAACCAGCAGCAGCAACAACAGCACCACCAGCGGCACCAGCACCATCAGCAGCAACAACACCACCACCAGCAGCACCAGCACCATCAGCTGCAACAACAGCACCACCAGCAGCACCAGCACCAGCAGCAGCAACAACAGGACCACCAGCAGCACCACTACCAGCAGCAGCAACAACAGCACCACCAGCAGCACCAGCACCAGCAGCAGCAACAACAGCACCCCCAGCAGCACCAGCACCAGCAGCAGCAACAACAGTACCACCAGCATTAGCAGCATCAAATTCCTCCATACTTTAAGCTCAACTCTTACCTTGACAAACAGCTCGATAGTTGGGAAACCCAGCTTTTTGGCTGCTATGTCAAACCAGGCCATGGTGACAACACAAGTCAAGGTTTCAGTTTATGGACTCATAACCTAGAGCTCCAAAGACACAGCCCGATCCGTAAATCAATCTGCCTCCAATCAGTCCGGTTCTGTCAGCGAAACTCGTGAAAGTTACTGTCTCCCTGCCTATTGAGCTCTGTCTGGGCTGGCTGAGACCGGACCGGGTCGTCAGGTTCTGTAGCTGTGGGCGACCATGGTTGGGGTGGTAAGATGGAGGGGAGGTGGGTTAAGATATGCAGAGCAGGACAGTGAGACGTTTTGCACAGCACACTCCCTCTTTGTTAGCAACACACGGCTAGCATAATAGAAACAGTGTCTGGGTGTTTTCCCTGTCTGGTGGGGCGTCTTTCATTTACTTTGATAGATTGTAGTTCTGATGTGTTGGTTTCAGCTACAGGTACTGATGAATGAATAATAGCCCATGCCAAACAGAGAACAACGTGTAAACTTTTTTAGATACGTAATCAGGTCCATGTGCCCCTCTACAATAATGTATCCCTGATGCAAAAGCCTCAGCTTATGTTTCCAGTTAGATGATCTCATTCACTGGCCTAATAACCTACAATGCAGAAACTCAGCCTCCTTTGGTGCACCAGGATACATTTTAATCAATCCTCAAAAAACAGCAACAATAGGCCCCAACTGACTGACCCAGAGTCAGTCTCTGTGGGTATGGTTTCTGTGTGGGCTGGTGGAACAGTGTGAGGCCTTTTCTGGGGTCAGTGTGTGGGAGTTCATGGAATCCTCAGCCCTGTTCTGACCCTGATGGAAAAGGGCAATGTGTTTCACACGCACACACACACACACACACACACACACACACACACACACACACACACACACACGCACACACATACGCATGCACATACACACACACTGAAAACATACTCCTCGTAGGCAACCAACCTTACTGTACATATCATAGAAGTACCTCATTGGGTAGAAAGCTGTCAACAACATAAAGAGGATTGTTTGATCGTATATATTTCTACTGAGATCATTACAAACCCAACCAACAGCGATTCATCACACTTGAACTCCGACCCCACAGCAATGAGTGACCATTCTAGTGTACTATGTGAGAGAGAGAGAGAGAGAGAGAGAGAGAGAGAGAGAGAGAGAACGAGAGAGAGAGAGAGAATGAGAGAGAGAGAACGAGAGAGAGAGAGAGAGAGAGAGAGAGAGAGAGAGAGAGAATGCAATTTCCTTGAGTCTCTAACTCCGGTGAAAGCCACAGTTGGAGCTTGCTTGGCCATGGAGCATACCTCCGGTTGCTCTCACACCAGGAGCAAGATAAAGGTGTCTATTGTATTATGTGAGCAGGCGCCCTGGGAGAACAGGGCAGGATATTAGGACATTTTCCCCCAGGCTTAATCCTTTAGCTGGGCGCCAGGGCACCTTCATCAAACACTGGAATGTGCCTTTGTTGTGTTGGTCACGTCCTGGGCCCATGGCATGCAGCACTCCAGACTTACAACGTTTTTAGCAGGAGGTTTTATCTAAGCGACTGACGGTTAGCACATATATTATGTAGCACATGTGGGAGTCAAATCCACAAGCCTGGGGTTGTTATAGAGAGCCACACTCCAACCAATTGAGCCAAATGAGGTACCATGTCAGGTAACTTTTTAATAACAGGCTTTTTATAGACAACTGACCAGAGAGGCATGGCTCAAAGCAATACAGTCGCGGCTGGAATGGAGCGTAATGATGGATTGCCTCAACGTAGTGCTCTCCATCGAGTTCTCAAAGCACTTTACATTGATAGTGGGCCACAGGTGATGCCACGGCAGCTATTTTGTGCCAGAACACTCACCAATAACACTACTAGAATGCCCCTCACACACAGTCACACATGGGACAATGGGGCCGTCAAGTCTGTGTGTGGAGGGGGGGGGGGGGGGGGGGTTGCAATCAGCTAAAGAGGGGTAGGATTACAGTAGGATATCACTCTCTTAATGGGATGAGATAAGGGGATCACAGTGGGATCACACTCAACCCAACGACATGACTCAAGCATGCCAACAGACATTTTACATTTTTAGTCATTTAGCAGACGCTCTTATCCAGAGTGACTTACAGTTAGTGAGTGCATACATTTTTTCAGACATTACACACAATCACACACAACCCCAACAAAACACCTCACATGCAATCATAACACAGGCAATATTACACAACATGCCTCACACCCAAACCGCAAGCATGCTTGATGTTTCCTTAGCAACAGATTTTCAAAATGGCGGTGTGTTTATGAATAAAGTCCAGCAGGCTAATACTTCACTGGCCAGACACACAGCTTCCGATCCTGTCCTCTCCTAACTACACAACCTCTGACCTGAAGGGCCAAACAGTGTCTTTATTACAACGTAATTTAAGTGACCTGCTAACTACTACCTTACAGTATATTTACCAGGCAAAGATCTGAAGCGAAGCCAGTTTCATGGTATGTTGCCATGTCGCTACACTCGGTAGTAAAGAAGAACAGGCCACAGAAAGTAGGCTAATGATAACAACGGCCTCTCACTCTCAACGAATCCCGACAGGCGGCCATTTTAAGTTGTCAAATCGTGTTACTTTAAACCAGCCAGAGGAGAAGCAACCACCACAACAGAACAATGCCTGGGGCTTTGACCGGACAGTGTCTGAGCTAGCCTTTATGACCAACTGAACATGACCAGAGACCAGACACTAAGTAGCTAAAATAAGCTAAAAGGCAGGCTAGGTCTAGTGGCTAAGGACTGGCATGGGTTTTCCTATGATGCTAGCTAGCACGCTACATGTAGCCCTATTTGTAATCTATAGAACAAGATGACAGGAAAGTTCCATTACGAGCTAAGTAGATAATTCTCTAGGATTCTGAAACACTGATTTGAGTACAATATGAGAGAGGGAGACAGATAGAGAGCGAGAAAGAAAGAAGGAGATTGTCCACTATTAAAGCTCTTCTAAGAGAAGGGGTGGGTCTGTTTTGTTGTGACATGTGGACAGATAAATCCTTTAGCCGTTACCTGAATAGAAGCTACACTTGACTTTAAATACATGCTAAACTATATTCTGCCACAAGTGGAGTTGGCAATACACAGAGACAATGGCAGAGACCACACCCCTCAGTGTTCTTCAGTCCTGGTCCTGAGCACCCACAGGATGTACAGGCTAACACACCTGATTCAGGTAATCAGCTGATTGATATAGCCTGTAGCTCTCCAGGACCAGGAAGCACTGGGGCCTTTTCAGGAAGATGCAACATAAGAGAACATTCAGATATAAATGTACTGTGTACTACACAGTGTGTATTGTAGATAGAACATACAGTTGAAGTCGGAAGTTTACGTACACTTAGGTTGGAGTCATTAAAACTCATTTTTTCAACCACTCCACAAATGTCTTGTTAACAAACTATAGTTTTGGCAAGTCGGTTAGGACATCTACTTTGTCCATGACACAAGTAATTTTTCCAACAATTGTTTACAGACAGATTATTTCACTTATAATTCACTGTATCACAATTCCAGTTGACTGTGCCTTTAAACAGCTTGGAAAATTCCAGAAAATGATGTCATGGCTTTAGAAGCTTCTGATAGGCTAATTGACATCATTTAAGTCAATTGGAGGTGTACCTGTGGATGTATTTCAAGGCCTACCTTCATACTCAGTGCCTCTTTGCTTGACATCATGGGAAAATCAAAAGAAATCAGCCAAGACCTCAGAATTTTTTTTTGTAGACCTCCACAAGTCTGGTTCATCCTTGGGAGCAATTTCCAAACGCCTGAAGGTACCACTTTCATCTGAACAAACAATAGTACGCAAGTATAAACACCATGGGACCACGTAGCCATCATACCGCTCAGGAAGGAGACGCGTTCTGTCTCCTAGAGATGAACGTACTTTGGTGCGAAAAGTGCAAATCAATCCCAGAATAACAACAAAGGACCTTGTGAAGATGCTGGAGGAAACAGGTACAAAAGTATCTATATCCACAGTAAAACGAGTCCTATATCGACATAACCTGAAAGGCCGCTCAGCAAGGAAGAAGCCACTGCTCCACAACCGCCATAAAAAAGCCAAACTACGGTTTGCAACTGCACATGGGGACAAAGATTGTACTTTTTGGAGAAATGTACTCTGGTCTGATGAAACAAAAATAGAACTGTTTGGCCATAATGACCATCGTTATGTTTGGAGGAAAAAGGGGGCTGCTTGCAAGCCGAAGAACACCATCCCAACCGTGAAGCACGGGGTGGCAGCATCATGCTGTGGGGGTGCTTTGCTGCTGGAGGGACTGGTGCACTTCACAAAATAGATGGCATCATGAGGAAGGAAAATTATGTGGATATATTGAAGCAACATCTCAAGACACCAGTCAGGAAGTTAAAGCTTGGTCGCAAATGGGTCTTCCAAATGGACAATGACCCCAAGCATACTTCCAAAGTTGTGGTAAGATGGCTTAAGGTTCAACGAGTCAAGGTATTGGAGTGGCCATTACAAAGCCCTGACCTCAATCCTATAGACAATTTGTGGGCAGAACTGAAAAAGCGTGTGCGAGCAAGGAGGCCTACAAACCTGACTCAGTTACACCAGCTCTGTCAGGAGGAATGGCCAAAATTCACCCAACTTATTGTGAGAAGCTTGTGGAAGGCTACCCGAAACGTTTGACCCAAGTTAAACAATTTAAAGGCAATGCTACCAAATACTAATTGAGTGTAAGTAAACTTCTGACCCACTGGGAATGTGATGAAATAAATAAAAGCTGAAATAAATAATTCTCTCTACTATTATTCTGACATTTCATATTCTTAAAATAAAGTGGTGATCCTAACTGACCTAAGACCGGGAACTTTTACTAGGATTAAATGTCAGGAATTGTGAAAAACTGAGTTTAAATGTATTTGGCTAAGGTGTATGTAAACTTCTGACTTCAACTGTATATGATTGCCTGTCATCTAAAAAAGGGAATTGTGTCAGCTCTATTCATTACATGTCTATCTGCAACGTTCTGAACGTCATAGTTAACCCATAGTTAACCCTTGGTGCTACTGTACCTTGACATAGAGGGAGATCTCGTACTCCTGGGGGTCCGGACTGTCGCTGCGTTCCTCGTGAGGGGTTGGGCTCTGCAGCCTCACAGACTTCTTCACCGTCTTCACCTCCCCCTCCCCCTGCGCTGCCTCCTCTTTCTTCACCTCTATCTTCACCTCTTTCCTCTGGTGCATGAATGTGGGCACCTCCTCCATGAGCACCACCTTCTTCTTCTTCACCGGCTCCTCTCTCCTCTTCGGGGAACGCACCTCCTCTTTGATCACCGACTTCAGCTCCTTCATCCAGTCCTCCCTCCTCCCATAGGTCTGCGCCTCCTCTGGTGACAACTTCTTAATCCAGTCCTCCTTCCGCCCAGGGTTCTGCGCCTCCTCTGGGGCCTCCTTAATACAGTCTTCCCTCCTCCCGGGGGTCTGCGCCTCCTCTGGGGCCTCCTTCTTGATCCAGTCGTCGCTCCTTCTGCGGGTCTGCGCCTCCTCTGGGGCCTCCTTCTTGATCCAGTCTTCCCTCCTCCCAGGAGTCTGCCCCTCCTCTGGGGCCTCCTTCTTGATCCAGTCGTCGCTCCTTCTGCGGGTCTGCGCCTCCTCTGGGGCCTCCTTCTTGGCCCAGTCCTCCCTCCTCCTGGGGGTCTGCACCTCCTCTGTGGCCGCCTTCTTGATCCAGTCGTCGCTCCCTCTGCGGGTCTGCACCTCCTCTGGGGCCGCCTTCTTGATCCAGTCGTCGCTCCCTCTGCGGGTCTGCACCTCCTCTGGGGACGCCTTCTTGATCCAGTCGTCGCTCCCTCTGCGGGTCTGCACCTCCTCTGGGGCCGCCTTCTTGATCCAGTCGTTGCTCCCTCTGCGGGTCTGCACCTCCTCTGGGGCCGCCTTCTTGATCCAGTCGTCGCTCCCTCTGCGGGTCTGCACCTCCTCTGGGGCCGCCTTCTTGATCCAGTTGTCGCTCCCTCTGCGGGTCTGCACCTCCTCTGGGGACGCCTTCTTGATCCAGTCGTCGCTCCCTCTGCGGGTCTGCACCTCCTCTGGGGCCGCCTTCTTGATCCAGTCGTTGCTCCCTCTGCGGGTCTGCACCTCCTCTGGGGCTGCCTTCTTGATCCAGTCGTCACTCCCTCTGTGGGTCTGCACCTCCTCTGGGGCCGCCTTCTTGATCCAGTCGTCGCTCCTTCTGCGGGGCGTGACCCTATCTCTTTTTACTGTCACCTCTTCTTTCATTTCTCCTTGTTTCAGCCTTGTGGGAGATAGCAGCATCTCATTCAGCAGTTGTCGTTTCAACTCCTCTGTTCCAGGGAACCCATTCTCTATCCTGGCTTTGCGACCTTTGACCCCTAGCTCCACCTCTTCTTCCTTCTCTTTCCTTCTTTCCTTCGCTGTGTCTTCCTTCCCTACCTTTACTGGCTCATCCTTAGTGACAGGCCCTGGCTGTTCTACACTCTCGCTGCCTCCCTCTAATGCAGGTTTAGACTCATCCTCAATGAGATCCTCTGGCTCTTCCGCCATCTCAATCGCTCCCTCTGATTGGGAGTCTAGATTATCGTCAATGTTTGTCACTGGCTGTTCCTCCAACTCACCCCCTCCCTCTGATCCTCCCGTCCCTATCTCTGAGACCGGAGCCTGATGTTCCATCTCTTCAGCCCCTCCCACCTCTGTAGCTCTGGGCTCATCCAGAATGACCTCTCCTGGCTGTTCTTTCTCCATGTCTCCTCCCTCCTCAAGCTCGAAAGCCTCCTCGACATGCTCTAAATCCTCCTCCTCCTGTGTGTCTCCTGCTGAACATTTGAGTATCTGTACCTGTGGCTGAGCTACAACTTTAACTTCTTTCTCTTCCTCCTCTTGTCTGGCAGCATTATCAGGCTCCAAAGCCTTTTCCGTCTGTTCCTCCATACCTCCACCTCTTCTCTGTTCCTCTGCTATCTCTACATTATCCTCCTTCTTTTGCTCCTCCTCTACTTTGCTGCCTCCTGTGTCCATCCCCGCCACCGCATCATCCCTAACCTGTTGTGGCTCTTCCCTCTCCCCACCACCTCCTTCCACTGCCCTTTCACTGTCACCCTCTTCGACCTGTAGCTGCTGTTCTGTCTGTTGTAAACCTCCCTCCTCTTTAGCTCCATTCTCACCCCCCTGACTCTCACCGGGCTGTATCAGTGGCTGTTCCTTGCTCTTGCTCCCTCCCTCTACCTCAACAGGTGGAGTGACAACATCCTGTGGCTGTTGAGCCGTGGTTGCCTGACTCTTGACAACTCCGGTCTCTATGACCTCATCAGTAACGAACAACGGGGGCTGGTGCTCTGTCGCTTGATGCCCCTCCTCTTCTTTCTCTAAAACGTCTTCTTTAGTGGTCTCTCCCTGTCCCTCTGTAACAGGGCTTGTAACCTCCTCCTCTTTTTTCTCTGTACTGTTCTCACTTCCCTGCTGCTTCTCATCCCTCTCTTCTTGTGCAACCTGTTGATTCTCTGACACTACATTCTTACTTTCCTCACTCTCTCCTTCATTGTCATTGGCTGGCTGATGTTTAGGATCCTCTTCCTGTCCTTCCTCCTGCCGTGTCTCTCTGACCTCATCGCTAGTGGACACAGTTTGACAGTCCTCAGTCACTTGACTCCCGCTTTCATCACTCACTCTCGCCATGCCATCATCATTAGTCGCCTGGCTGATGGGCATCTCTGGGTCCTCACCGCCACTCTGCTCTTCCTTCGCTAACTCATCTGTAGTGGATTTAGTTTCTGGCTTTTGACTCTCTGTACACAGCCCTTCTTTACTCTCCACCTCATCATCAGTGGACGGGACTGGCGGTTCTGTTGTCGTCAAATCGACATCGTCCTCTGTCTTATCAACAGGCAAAACTATTTGTGCCTTTTCTGCCTCTGGAGATGTCTCTTCATTTTTCCTCTCTACCTCATCATTAATGGACTCAGTTTCTCTCCCCGCTGTCTCCTTCACCTCTCCCTCCTCCACACACAGAGTGACTGACTCCTTCTCTTCTTCCCTCTCTCCTCCCTCCTCTTCCCTCTCTCCTCCCTCCTCTTCCCTCTCTCCTCCCTCCTTCTCGTGTGAGTGTTCTGTAGCTATCTCAGTGGTCTGAACAGGTTGGTCAGGTAAACTAGGGGGTGGTGGGGGGAGAGGAGGTTCGCTCTCCTCTATTTCTCTCCCTTTGTCCGCCCCTGCTGACTCCTCCTCTCTCTCAGCAGACTTCTCTTCTTCTACAGCCTCTACAGATTTCTCCTGCTCCTCTTCAATTACAACAACTGGCACGGTCAGCTCCCTCTCTCTTTTACCTCCCTCTCTCTTTTCCTGGAAACTAACCTCCTTCTCTTCAATCCCCCTCTCTCCCTCCTCTCCCTCCTCTCCTCCACTCCCATTAGCTTGCACCATCACTTCGAAATGATCAGCTGCACCTCCCTTACCCTCACCTGCCAGCCCAATGTCCTCCATGTCCTCGCCCACCTCCTCCCCCAGTTCCAACACCTCCTCTGCAAGTTCTACATCCTCCTCCTCCTCCTCCTCTTCATCTCGTTGTCTCTGTGTATCCGGGTCGGTACAGGTTCCTATAGGGCTGTGGATGATGGCTCCGTTGGAGAGGTCCGGGCTGAGGCCATTAGCTTCAGACTGGGCCATGGTTACTGGAAGACCAACACACACTGGGAAGGAGTGTGTCCAAGGTTCCAACAAGTATGTGTCCAGGAATTCAAGCCGAATTTGAGGAAGTTGGGTAAGTGTGTGTTTGTAGGTTCCACAGACGCACGCACAGCTTCTAGTTGTCGCTGCCTGGGGCTCCAATCTGTAACTAGTGCCTGTGTACAGTTGGTCAAAGTACAATCTCTTCCTCTCTCTCCCTCTCCCTCTCCCTCTCCCTCTCCCTCCTTCTCCAGAGGATTAGGCTGAGTTTCAGAAGTTGATCCCCACATGACCAGCCTGCCTCCTTTAAATCCGCCCAGAGCCTATATCCCCTCAGCCCAGCCCAGCCCAGCTCCAAAGCCTATACCCCCACAACCATGCCTAGCCCAGCATGGCCCCTCTACTCCACTCCAACCCCCATCCATTCAACCACCTCCCTAACAATCTCCTCCTCCCAATGGCTGCCTCCATACCTGCCTGAACCCCCCCATCCAAAAACACATCCAACCCGCCACACTTTCCCCAACCCCAAACCATCTTTAACCCCCCTCTGACCCCTTTTCAGTTTTCAGTTCTCCTTTAGCATAACCCATAGGCTGAGCCTCTGCTGAAGTCAGTGAGGATGCCCCGAGTTAGCCTTTCAGTAAACCACAGTTGTCCTAGTACAATCCCTTATCCTCTTTCAGGCTTTAAGCAAAGTAGACCTATATAACCACTGCCTGACAGTCAGAGGTAGGTGTACAGGCAGAGGCACTGGCAGGAAAAGGATTGCATTGATGACCAAATTGAATTATTCACACAAGAGAATTTGGGTGATTACAAAAGGATGAATAACCTTTGTAATGATGTATCTTTTTTATTTAATTATTTGATCTAAACATATTGATGATGCATCATGCATCCATCATCCTCTTCAGATAAAGAAGAGTCACATCATCATCTACTACTGACTTGTATAATATCGGTCTTATTACGTTTTTCAACATTAGAGGGCAGCATTGCTTTGCCTATAATGGTACAACCTGCATGGCGTTGGTTTTGAATATTATAAAATTGCAGGTAATTTACATATAAATAAATAGACTTCACTTCAGTAGACATAAGCATCACATTTGCGACGAACAGTTCAGGGCAAAATTACAGTGTCCGACTCCGAATAACACAATCAAGGTCCTAAAACTCAACACCGACAGTGACAGCTAATGTACCATCACCTTCAGAGCGTTGCAATAATTTGCAATGAGGGCAAAGCGCTGCGTAGACATCACTGATCTAAAAACAGATTGTATGGGTCAAACTCATTCTCATTTAATCTCTTGGACAATCTAGAATTGTAGTGATCAGTGAAGCTGCGTTGCGACAGTTCTAAACCGGAAAATCGCATCAGCTGTCCCCTTGACGTCATCTCCTTTATCCGATGGGCCACCAGCTCTAAAACAGGACTTTCAGTTTTTAGTGTAATATGCTTTTTGAATTTAATTTACTGAGAAATATTTGGCCCTAAAACAACATAGCTACATTAATTATTGTACTTTTGCTCATTAATTAATGACGAATCTAAGGAGCTTGCGATGAGATAGTAGCTAAGCGCTTCTGCTAGCTAGCTAGCTGAAAGCTAACCGAGGACCACAATATATTTAGCTACAGTGACAGCTCTGCTAGGTCCGAACTGCAAGTTGAAACAACTAACCTGGCGCGACTAGAACAATTACGGTCCGGTCCGCAAGATGCAGAAATCAGAGAAGAGCGATGGTGCTGAGGCGACGGTCGATGTGCAGTTTACCGACCTACCCAACGCCCTTATCGCATGCAAAGTAACTGAAGATGTTTTCAATGACCAAACTCTGAAGGTAAGGATGTGTGTTATGGTGGATCAAAGCATTCAACCAAAGCAAGCTTGCATTACATTACAATGGTTCCCTACTAAACAACTTAAACCTCTCTCTCTCTTTCTCTCTCTGTGTGTGTACTCATGTTCAATCCAAAGATAGTATTAGATTCCACTCCCCCAAAGAATTGCTGTCTTTCTAAAGATGAGTCTTAGGCTCCTAGTTGTGTAGTTCTGCTCCACCGTCACACACCTGGAAACGGTTCACTTCCATCCCCTGCGTGATTCCATAGGGGTTGGAACAGTTCCATCAGCAAGAACATTCCTAGATTTTTCCCATAACAAGACAGGAATACAGGAAGCTTGGAAAAAGCTGAGATTCTGTCCTAACTGGGAGAACTTAGCCAAGGACATAGGCACACAGGCAGAGGTCCTAATAATGTTTTTTTACTGCTTCCTTTCCTTGTCTCCTTTCCTTCATGACTGCTTAGCTAGCCAATAAGTGAAAGTGATATGTTGCAAACATGTCTAGTCTTCTCTGCTCCTCTCACCTATCTCTTGTCAGGGGTTTTGGCCGAGGAGGCTGTGACCTCTTTGTCAGTCAAATGAAGGCCACTGGAAGTAGGCTATGTAATAACACACTGTAATCAGAACAATGGAAAAGTGTGTGTGTGTGTGTGTGTGTTCTCTAACTAGGCCACATGTCATTCAGGAGGTCCTCCTGAGCAACAGCAGGGAGAGAATTGGCAAGCGGGGGCCCTATTCAATCAAAGCCATTTCTGGACTTTGACGATATAGCCTAAATCATAAACAAAGATTGTTATCTTTAGTAAAAATTAATATCTGGTATACACTCCCACTATCTCAGTCTCTGATAACATCTAGCCTTCCTGAGGTCAGGTGAATGTGTCACAGGGGCTGATTTTTCGCGTTGGAAATCTGACTAATGCATTTTTCTGTGTACACAACATTCTTCCGCTCTGTGTTGGCTAGTCTTTGATTTATAGAGTGTTTCCATTGGAGCTGACAGGAATTAAGGAACAGGAAGGACAGCAGTCATAAGCAGGAAGAGATGAGGAATTAGAGACTTTGTTCTACTTAGTATTCCCACATCCAAATACTAGACCCTATGCCTTGCAATTTGTTGCTTTGAGCTAAAAGTTTAAAGCAAATAGAATAAATCCACACACTAGGGCTGTCTCCGAAAATAACAAATATCTTGGTTGACCGAAGGTCATCAGTTCTGCATGTAGTTGATTTTATTTAAACAAATAGGGTGTGTCTACATATCGAGAAAACAAACACGTAAAAAAATGTCAACCAATCGATTGGTCTAAATTTGTAAACGTGTATTTTTCCTTATATAGTCACACCCTATTTGTTTTAATAAAATCAACTATATGCATTGAGCTTGTCTGATGCTTTAAGCACACTGTTTGATGAAATAAGACACAAATGACTCAAGAGGGAGCCAGAGAACAAGATAACCAGAAGAAAAAAACCTCAACTTGACCCGACCATCCTTCTCCCGCTCCTGCTGGCTTTCGCAGATTCTGCCCCTCCTGAAGTTGCCGGTAATAGGCTACACGAGGAGTCCACAACCTTTCTCATGAGCAATGCCAATTTATCTTACAATTTCTACAGATTTGTGTGCCAGTTATGGTTTTCATATGCATGTTTTCGTGGAACAGTTTCATTTCATTTATAATAACATCTTTGTGTCTCAAATTCATGTGGTTAATCAAAATTCTATCCAAATCTAAATTAAAATTATACAAACCTAAAAAGCAACTTGCCAACTATGTAAAAATAGCCTACATAAAGCCAACAAATAAAAACATTGCAGCCTGCAGGTAGAAAATATCCTGATTAAAAATAAATATCCTATAAATCACATTGGTTACGCATAGCCTGTCTGCAACGAACTTGAAACATTGTATCAACTATTAACTTGGGCCTGGCCCAGCTCACACTAGCAAACTTACAACATTGTATAAAATATTCTGGGCCCACAGTTTCCTGCACCAGTGAGCTCAGGACAGACACAGCTGTAGGCTATTTGCGTGAGGGATAAGAAGTAATCCGGTAGGTCTATTTTATGACGTTTCCACTGGATAAGAGCGTGACATTTTTACCTTTCACGCTGAGTGGTTATTTATTTATTTATTTTTATTTAACCTTTATTTAACCAGGTAAGCCAGTTGAGAACAAGTTCTCATTTACAACGGCAACCTGGCCAAGATAAAGCAAAGCAGTGCGATTTAAAAACAACAACACAGAGTTGCATATGGGATAAACAAAAACGTACAGTCAATAACACAATAGAAAATCTATATACAGTGTGTGCAAATGTAGTAAGTTATGGAGGTAAGGCAATAAATAGGCCATAGTGCAAAATCATTACAATTTAGTATTAACACTGGAGTGATAGATGTGCAAAATATGATGTGCCAATAGAGATACTGGGGTGCAAATTAGCAAAATAAATAACAATATGGGGATGAGGTAGTTGGGTGGGATAATTACAGATGGGCTGTGTACAGGTGCAGTGATCGGTAAGCTGCTCTGACAATTGATGCTTAAAGTTAGTGAGGGAGATAAGAGTCTCCAGCTTCAGAGATTTTTGCAGTTCGTTCCAGTCATTGGCAGCAGAGAACTGGAAGGAATGGTTATCGAAAGGGAGAGAGCTGTAAAGATCAAATACATTAAGGAACTATAGTCATTCTCAATTAATGTAAAAACAGACTTCGTTTGCTTACTGTTTTAGGTGAAGAAAACATTACTTTGAGAAGCTCCAAAGCTCATTAGTGGTGGTGGTGTTAAGCCAATCAGAAATACTATCAGATCCCCAAATGGGTACATTTATATGCCTACATTTGCACGTAGGCCAGGTATCATATAGGCCTACTTCAATGCATAATCAGGTGCGCGTCCTTACTCAACATTGACAGGAGCGCTCCAAACAAAAGACAATGACTAAATTGACAAAACTCATAAATGGAATGAAATAAACCAAAACTTGTTTCTCACAAGTGTAGAATAGGTTGTGCTCTCTGGAGCCTGCGACCACATTTTCCGATCAAGTATAAATTGCCTTTAAGAAAGGTGTGTTGTGTGCCATAAAAAAAAATATATATATATATATATTTGCTACTGCTTGACAAAAAATAATCTGAGTCGACCAACAGCCTATCGACCAAACAATCAACCAGTCGACTAATTGGGGTCAGCCCTACAACACACACTGTTGATTTTTTAAATGAGGACTAAGTGTCAACTCGCCATACTGTAGGTCTACAGACTACTGTGGGGCAGACAACAGTACTGTTGTGAGAAACGGAAAACAGAAGCCAATGCTGTATGGAATTTACTCATTTGTCTAGCTGGTGTGGTGACATTGGTGAATAGTGTCAGATTCAGCTAAAATGGCCTGCTCTTCCATGGAAGGGTGGGAGCGGAAACAGTGAGACAGGTGCTCAAACCAAAACAGCTGGTCAAGCCACACACACACACACACACACAGATCAATGAATGAATAATCAATGGGGCTTAGAAGGAAGTGAAACAGGGTAAAGGTCATAAAAACTTGACTGTTTGGAATAAAAGTGTTTTTCTTTTCAGAGGGTCACGTCCTTTAAGGAGCTTTGAGTCAGCTGAGAGATCATGTGATGGAATATTCCGCTGTGTGCAACAACACTGTGTTCTCCTTTAGGAATGTTTGACAAAGACACACAAAGTTTCCACCCTATTCAGATATTCATCTAGTTTTAAGACCCAACCCATCCCATGCACTTAATCAGGTAAACTGTCCTGTCCAAATCAAAATGGCCTCCCTCCTGCAGTAAGGGTCACACATTATTACAACAGGTCATTTAAAACAGGTCACCACCAGTGACTGGCCACATGTGACAAATCAGATGTTACCTAATGGAAACTGTGACCTGTCTGTGACAATCCGTGGTCCTCTGTAGCTCAGCTGGTAGAGCACGGCGCTTGTAACGCCAAGGTAGTGGGTTCGATCCCCGGGACCACCCATACACAAAAATGTATGCACGCATGACTGTAAGTCGCTTTGGATAAAAGCGTCTGCTAAATGGCATATTATTATTATTATTATTATTATTAATCCTGTGTAGCTCAGTTGGTAGAGCATGGCGCTTGCAATGCCAGGGTGAAAAAAAAATGTATGCACTCACTACTGTAAGTCACGCTGGATAAGAGCATCTGCTAAATGACTCAAATGTAAAATGTAATGTATTTGCATGGCAGAGATATTTGATTCAAAAGCCTCAGGCCCAGAGCGAGAACAGAGCAGGAAGTCTGTGTGTTTGTTTGCACGCTAGTACCAGACGGCAGCTGGTAGGCTTAAAGCTACATTATGTAACTTTTTGGGCAATCCGACCAAATTCGCATATAAATGTGAGTTATACATCTGTCATTCTCATTGAAAGCAAGTCTAAGAAGAGGTAGATCTGTTCTATGTGTGCTATTTCTATTCTTCCCGTTCTTAAGTTTAGTTTTTGCATCTTTTACTTTCGGTGTTTGTCCCCAGCTTCAAACAGCTGAAAATACAATATTTTTGGTTATAGAAAATATATTTCACAATGGTTTCGATGGTACAATGATTCTCCACACTTGTTTTGTTACATAAATGGAAATTAGGCGAACTATTAGAATTTTTGCAACCAGGAAATGGCGGAGAGATTTCTGCATATTGCACCTATAAGTACTCTGTCTGCTTACAAACTCTGTGCACCTGTGTCTCTCTTTTAAGATCTGCTGGGGGGACAGAATCTCTTTGTTATGTCTTTGATGTAAAGGTGAGTGTAGTGCATGCATCAGGGCTGTCTGGTTTCTGGTGCTCATTATAACTATCAGTGACACTTTGGTCTTTCCTGCTGTTTCTGCCACTCAGATCAGACAATGGTGGAGTGTTCTAGAATATAGAACCAGTTCTGAGGTTTCCACCTGTCGCTGTCTGAGGTCACACTGCTGTTCTGGTTTCTAGCCGACTGGCTTGTCACTCACAGGAAACAGCTAGTCTGATTTGTTACTCACTACATTTCATGTAGCAGCAGCTGGAGACAACGTCTCAGACGAGAGTTGATGCTCTCTGCATGCAGCTTACAGGTAGTGTTGTCAAAAAGTGTCAGTCGCGGGTCAAGACACAATACCGCTGTACTGTTAACTTGCATGTAGGCCTGTGGGTGTAGTCTTGAGAAAATGGATGTGCAGGCTAGTTTAAGTGTGTGGGTGTTGTATGGAAAAATGTGCCTCCCTCCTCTTCCTCCCTGCAGAGCAGCTGAGGTTTAATGTGAGTGTTTGTTGTTGTTGTTGTTAACCATCTCAACCTCTGTCCCACCGTGTGTGTGTGTGACGGCGAACGTGTGTTAATCATCTTCAGACCTTTGTCCTACCCTGTTACTTAGTGTGGGTGTGCGTGAGACTGAAAGAGATACAGAGCCACTTTGCATAACACTCATCGTGTGTGTGTGCTCTCAGCCCTGCATTTTTTCCGTCCCCTCTGTTTTGGTTTCATATTCCTATTTTCCATTCCCTCACTGGAACATTTGCTTTCTAGCACACACACAGACACACACAGACAGACAAACAGACAGACAGACAGACACAGAGAGTATTAGCACTTCACTACCAACACAGTAACAAGTGTATACTACATTTAGCACATACATTATACTCACACATGGTTAGCCTTTACTTTAGTCTCTTGACTCTCTCTCTCTCTCACACTCTCTCTGACATTTTCCCTTGAGCAGTCTCACAGCACCTCAGTGCTATTAATACCACTCTCATAAAAGCTTCTGTGATATCAAGCCTCCAGCTGCATACTTTCCATAAGAACCACTTCTCCTTCATCTCTCTCTCTTCTTCCCTTACACTCCACACAGACCTCTCTATTTTTCAGCCTGTCTCCCTTTCTCTCATGTACTCTGTGTTTCTGCCACCTCTCTCTCTCTCTCTCTCTCTTTCAGTCCATCTCTCTCTCTCGTCTGTGTCTCTCTGTAGTGAAGCTCTCAGGCGTATTAATACCCAGAATGACGTGTGTTTTCCACGACCGACGCTCAGCAGGCCAGAGTCAAGGGCCCGATAAGCTGATTCCGTGTGTGTGGTTTTATTGTGTCAGAGTCATGGACCCAGTTTCGGATTTGCACATATTTTCCATTCACAACTCAGAGAGTTGCAATGTTAACACACGTTTCCCATCCTAATAAAGCCCTTAAATTGTAAATTGTTGAGAGAGAGAGAGAGAGAGAGATCAGTCTGCTAAGGATTGATGTCATTATCAATCTCTGTCTCACTGCCTCTCTAATTAGTCAGCAAAGGAGAGAGGGAGGGACCATGTCTGAGTGAAGGAGGGAGGGAAGAAAGGAGGGACACACCCCCTTTGTCAGCGGGTTGGCTGGGAGTGAATGAACCATGGAACGAAGGAAGGAGAGAAAGGGGGGGGGAGGGGCTGTGGAGTGCGTCAGTAGTTGTGACTCTCATATAAGCGGCTGCAGAGAGGCAGCGAGAGACCAGACAGACAGAAAGAAAGAGGGCTTGTACAAATGCAGCCCATAGTCTCGTTGGAACGCTCTGTAGCCTAGACGGAGGACTGTTTTCAGCTGTCGTGTAGCTGCCTGTCTCTGTCCTACGGACCTCACTGCCAAGGGTAGAACCTGAGAGCTATCGCTAACGTTGCTACCTCTGGATCTGGGCTAGCAGCTCAGTAGCTAACTGGTTCCGGCTTGGACGTCACTGGACGTTTTTTTTGGGGGGTTCTTCATTTGGCCAGGACTGCAGGCTTTTGCAGCTCTCTTAGTGGGGTGTGGACTGTACAAACAGAGAGAGATAGAGAAGAGAAAAGGGGAATTTGAAGAGAGGAATAAAAGAGGAGGAAGATTCTGGAGAGGAGGAAGTAAGGGAAACGGGAAAAGGAAGGATTTTTTTTTTTTTGTGGGAACGAGATCTCCCTCAACCCTCACGCTGGGGAAGGCGGTGCAACCCCCCCACACCTGTCATCTTCATCCCCGCCCCTCCTCGCAAACTCTGACCTCCCGCATTATCAGGTGGAAAGGCCTCTGCCTCCCTGCCCTTCCCATCATGCACCTCAAGACCACCAAGTGTAACGCCTTCTGCCTGGTTGCCTCGGTGACCAACCAGGAAGTGTTTGACAGGCCTGAGTCCCGGGTAAGAAGGCTTTATATGTCGCCTCTGATCTGTCTCCTAAAACTGATCTAAGGTCAGATTCTGTGGCCTTTGAGGCCTATTTCCCAATGGTTGTAATGGTTAGGTAATCTGTTCCTAGATCTGTGCTTGTCTGCAGCTTGTGATCCATTCTCACTGAACTAATAGTTCCAGCTTTAGACCAATGAGATGTAGCGGTCCTCATGGTCTGAGCTGAGCTCCTATCAGACCACTGTCACACTGGGTCTTTCTTTAGCGATGGACCCGACACTTACCAAGGCCAGGCACGCACGCACACACGTTGAGCAGGGTTGCCATGACAACCGGGCGGTGTTCCTTTTTTTAAAGGGGCAGTTTAGTCAAGCATTTTGCAGCAGCAGTTATTTTTTGAAGGGCGGGGAGTAACGTTAGGCCTGAAAGACCTAAAAATATTAAACAAGGTTGGGACAGGAAAAGGCACTTACAAGTCTTCATACACTTGACATGCACTCGACAAATTTGCCTTTCAAATCACAATGCATTTGGCCTTTTTAGGGTTTGGTTGTATTGTGTCATTGTGCCTGGACTGGTCTTGGGCTTTTTGTTGGGATCCTCGCCCATTGCTGGTTCTCTCCCAGGCCACAGTCCCATAACTGTAGTTAATGTTTGTTATACTATTATTATCTGTGTGATCATGGTGACTGAGCAGTTTTGAGAAGCATAGCCCATTTCTGGGTAAACATACAATTATGTATTTAATGTATTACATCATAACACTGTGTGGCAACATCACTATCCAACTCACTCATACTGTACCTCCTCTATCTCTCACCCTCTCTCTCTCTCTCTCTCTCTCTCTCTATCTCACCCTCTCTCTCGCTCGCCCTTTCTCTCTCTCGTGTCCTCTCTCGCCCTCTCTCTCTCTCTCTCTCGCCCTCTCTCTCGCTCTCTCACCCTCTCTCACGTCCTCTCTCTCACCCTCTCTCGCCCTTCTCTCTCGCCCTCTCTCTCTCTACTCCTATAGGCCAGTTTTGAGTCTCTGTTCCGCTCCTTCGATCCGGACGTAAACTTCCAGTTCTTTAAGAGTTTCCGGCGTGTGAGAATCAACTTCAGCGATGCACTGGCCGCCGCTGAGGCGCGGCTCCGACTGCACAAGAGCGACTTCAACGGCAAAGAGATGCGCCTCTACTTCGCACAGGTAGAGACGCCTACTGTACATCACCCAATAACCCTTTACTTTCATTAACTTAGATCTGTTGGTAGTGGAAATATACATTACAAATTAAACGTGTTAGTCACTATTTGGTTTAGCAAGCAGCAGTGTTGGCACTGATTGTTTCCATTGATCTACATTGAGCCTCTCGTGTCTCGCTTTTCCCCTTCCCCCCTGTCTGCCCTGCAGTCCGTCCTCATAGGCAGTCCCCGCCTGGAGCCCCCCAAACCGGACAAACAGTTCCTGATCTCCCCACCAGCCTCGCCACCGGTGGGGTGGCAGCAGGCCCCGGATGCTGTGCCCGTCATAAACTACGACCTTCTCTGCGCCATCTCCAAACTAGGGCCAGGTGTGTCACACATACACTCGCTACAATGAGGATGGGAACCTAGAAAATAATTGATTCTAATTCAATGTGATGGAATTACAGTAGCTATCCTTTGTATTGCCATCAGTTAGATTGTGGCCAGTACTACAGTGTTAATGGTCCTCTCTCCCTGTCTAAATTAGGTGAGAAGTACGAGCTCCACAGCGGCACCCCCACCACCCCCAGCGTAGTGGTCCACGTGTGTGAGAACGAGCAGGACAGCTCGGGGGGCGAAGACGACGCAGAGGGAAGCACCAGCAGCAGCAACCGCCCCCCTCGCCCCAAAATCATCCAGACACGACGTCCGGACATCACCCCCGGCATCATGCAGTGAGCGGCAGAGAGGGGGCGCTCTAACATCATAACATCCACAAAGCATGTCTCCTACATCTGCCTCTGAGAAGTCGACGACAGCTTGGCCCTGAGAGGGTGCTGCTTGGGACATGTGATACATCCTCTCTAACACTAGGGGGAGACACCTCTCAAAGCCCTGCCTTTTCATGGAGAGAAAGAAAGAGGAAAAGAGAGCGAGGAGACATTCATCTCTTATCATTTCACACAAGTTTTCATTTCTCTTTCGTCCTCCATTTTGAACGAAATTAGACTCTTGAGAAAAAGATAAGTAGATAGAGAGTAAAGAGAAAGGGATGTTTTGAATATCTTTTTTTGCAGTTTTCTTTTTAATGTCCTCATTTGCTTTGGAACCATTGTATATGTTCATGGTCAGGCATGGTAGTGTGAGAGAGTGATGTGGTAGTCCTCTCTAGAGAGACATGGGGGGGGGGATCAACTTTCTTTGGATTCATTGTGACTTGTAATTCAGGACCCCGTAACAAACCCTGTCTATAAACTCATTTCATACTGTGTACTGGATCCATCATTGTCTTGTCTATAAGATGTCTGCGCATGCTGCAGTGGCGGCAGCTGAAAGGAGGACGGCTCATAATAATGGCTGAAACTGCGCGAATGGCATCAAACTATGTGTTTGATACCATTCCACCTATTCCGCTCCAGCCATTACCACGAGCCCGTCCTCCCCAATTAAGGTGCCACCAACCTCCTGTGGTATGCAGCCGTCACTAGCTCAGTGATTTACAATGTTTCACTCATCGAGGAGTACAAATTACATTCTATTTGATGACATCACAATATACCTATTATTCATTAATATTCTAATTTCTAATGGCCTTTACTCTAGGCCTAACATCTGTAAAAAGAACACTTCAGCATAACTTTCTTAGAATTCACTCCTTGACATGTTAATTTGCTATGGAAGGGACTTATCATTCAGTAATGTGTCTCCAAAAATGACGCATCTGCTTTCAGAGCATTGAGATATGTTACTGTATGTTAATACAAACTCCCCTCCTAGTTCATCCTCCTTTGATTGACAGAAATGGCTGCCATATCATGCTGATCAAACAGGGCAGGGATGGCCTCCTGCATGGGTCTTCATAGCTTACTGTACATTTTTGCTGCGCATCTTCCTGGCCAGTATGGCTTGTCTCACTTGAATTACGCCGCTATTTTGGGGCCGACTAGGGGGCATTAGGGCTCTGAACTGTACAGTTACTGTAGGAGGTTTGGTTGTGTGCGCTGCAGTCAGAGAGGGGGGTTGTTTTTCATAGGTTGTTGTTGGAAGCTTGTGTAGATGCACTGTGAATGTTTAATGCATGCGCCATCACAGCACATTTGGAATGACGTTATCCACCCTAGCGGTTTGGGGTTACATTAGCCGATTTAGCTACTTTTGTACTCTGAACTATTGAGATTCATTATTATACCTTGAATAATAATCTTGTGAGTTATCATGTAATAAAGACTTCACCTCTAAAGTCATGTTAATGTGTGGTTTGTTTTAATTATGAGGTGTTTTATTTATCAAATGTTCAACATAGGCAAGTACTGTCTGGAGCCACTTCACATTCTGGCCATTTGGTGAAACTTCGCTGCCTCCCTATGGTGACATTTTGATGTGCACCCTTTCATACTATGACCTCTACAAGTTCAAGTTTTATTGTCACATGCACAAGTACAGTGAAATGCTTAACTTGCAAGCTCTATCCAACAGTGCAGTGATCAATATCAAAATATAACTAATAGTTGTTTAAGAAAAACATGAGAAATAATAAGAGCAGGCTATGTACAGGGTCAGTGCCAATACCAAATGTACAATGTGCAGGGAACTGAGCAATGTACAGTAATTAAGCCACTAAGACCTCTGTCTCAATCGTCTAATATAAAATAAAAAATTTATTTTAAGCGCTTTTCACTTCATGGAGATAATCAGCAAGTTTTTTTTTAAAGCAATAAAATCACATTAAAATAAGCAAGTACAAAAAGTAACTAAACATCAGGACAGACTAACCAGGGAAAACAGTAAACATGATAAGACTAGTGCGATAGTGGCTTCCTCATCATCAATCAGGACAAATTAATGTCACCTAATGTGTTGGTCAATAGACTGCCCACCTCTCCATCACACCATTGTCTCCAACATTCAGCTCTATACATCAAATGTAACCAAAAGAAAGACAGCTCCAAACAGAAGTACAAAAACAGTCTTTATTTACAAAACATCAGGTGGATCTTAAGTTAAAAGTTTGTGTAAAAAAAGAATCTGACACACCGGCAGCAATGGTCTGGACCCCAGGTCTGTTCTGAGTAGGTACTGTCCAACAGACACTATACATAATCAACACTTCCTCCCCAGACCAGCCAATCAGAGCTTCCGCCCCATCCTTGGAGCATGTAGGTCCCCAGTCTGCTCAGGTGACATAGTTCCTGGGAAGAAAGAGGGGAGATGTTTAGTTCAAACTGACCAATAACTACTGTACTTTAAGGCATCAAACCCCTTGAAGCAGCTTTGAAACCCCCATTGTTCTCTCCCAGTCTATCTATTGCTGACTGATTTCCAAATGGACTAATTTTGGCCAAGGCATCTGTATTGTATTCACTCACCTTTCTTCTCCTCTCTTCACAGTCTCCCTCGTTCCGCCGGGTCAGTCATCCTTCTTGTTGTCCAGGAGCTCATTATCCAAGAGCTCCTGCACCTGCTCTGCGATCCTCCTCTGCTCTGCCCTCTGTATCTTCAGCTTGGCCTCTTCCTTCTTAGCCTGATAGATCTTCACTCCAGCGAAGCCCAGGCACAAGACCAGGGTCTTCAATGCCAGGATGTAGAAGAGCAGAGGGACATTGTCCAACGCCTGGAGGAAGGAAGAGAGAGAAAGGAGCAGGGTTATGAGAGAGCGAGAGAGAGAGAAAAAGAGAGAGAGAGAGAGAGAGAAAGAGAGAGTGTGTTTAGGTCTACAAGAAAAAGTTACAATGCCAACCAAGTCTCATGAAGGTTGGTAATGTATAGGTTAATTCACTATAGAACAAATATAAAATCAGCTATTCTGTGTCAAACTAGATTGAAAGAAAATGAGTGCTTGCTTGGTTGATCAACAAAGTCGGCCTACTTAATATAATCCTCTGTCATGCTCAATTGCACGGCGGACCAAGTAGAAGACCAAGTCACTCTCCACCAGCCCCCCTTAACATCCCTCAAGGAAGGAACACTCTAGAACAGTGGTTCCCAACCTTTTTTTTCCGTTACTGAACCACCAACAGAATTTGGCTCTGCCCGGAGTAACCCCTCATGTGCATTTTACCAGTAAGCCTATGGTCTCATGAGTCTACTCAAGTACCCCCAGTGGATGGCCCGAGTGCCCCCAGGGGTTCTAGTACCCCTGGTTGGGAACCACTGCACTAGAATTCCACAAGGGACCAAACTACTACACCGACCCCCGATAACTCCTCAACCCCCACACCAAAAAGTCTCAAGACTAGAAGTCTTGAACAGCTGACACCCACAGTCACCATAGTTGTCAGGACAGCTGCAAGCATTCATATACCAGGCCTGTCTTCTGTCAATGTCACTCACACACACACGGCAAGCAGCATGATGCAATCACAGATCTCAACACAAATTAGCTGATATTTCTATAATTAGAACCTGTTCGTTCAGTTACTTGTAAAATGAGCTGACTTTTAGAGCTGCTTCTCTGCGCAGCGCTTGCTCAAGACGACCCTCGTGAACTAGACCACATAGACGGTGCTGCGTAGGCTACAGTATTTATGGCAAGACTATCCTCAAAACGTTGCATATGCATCACTGTATGAAGCACTTATAACAATGTAGCTAACCAACAATAAGAGAAACAAAATATCTTAAAATGTAACACTGCACTGTCCATGTAAATCGCAAGTGTCACTATCAAGTCACAACAACATTGGAGAGGATGGACAGCTTGCAAGAGGACAACGACCTCGTAGCGAGATAAGGGACGATTTATATGCTCAGCATGTTAATTGTTACTAATTAATAGACTGTTATTAATATATCTGACTTACCTTCCAGTTGATCATGTGGTCCATGTCTGCTGTAATGTGACGTGGGACGGAACTGTGTAAAGAAAGTGTCTGTGGGTGAAGTTTCCCCTAGCACAAATATAAGTGGCACTGCTCGGGGAGGAGGTATTGGATTATGTATTACTTCTAAGGGCGGGGCGTAAGACATTTTACCAATAGGAACGCACATTTTGTTTGATGTACATTATTTGGACCAATCGTCATCTAAGAGTCTCAGAACAAACCGGTAGGTTAGCCAATGAATGGGCACTGAGAGTTTCACAAGAAACATGTAATGACGAATGGAAAAGAACCGTCTAGAAGTGACTCCAGAGATGTTCTTACTTCTTACTATAAGATTACAACCTTGTAACAGGGTTTGCTGTAGGCCTACATTTAATGTGATTATCCGTCTTATTATTGCTGAATCAGATGAATTGTAGACCTACTCCATCAGCAATTATGGACTTCACCATTCGAGTTTCACACACTTTGTTGCACTTCTAGCCAACAACACAGCCATACAGTTCAAATGATATTTATAGCCTATTATAAACCGGGTAGTTTGGGACCTGGATGCCGATTGGCTGAAACAGCATTTCAGCTGTGTGTATATCAGACAATATACCATGGGTATGACACAATAATACTTGTTATTTATGTTGGTAACCAGTTTATAATATAAATAAGGCACCTCAGGGGTTTGTGGTACAGGCCTATGGCCAATATACAGTACCACCGCTAAGGCCTGTGTCCAGGCACTCCACTTCGCGTCGTGCGTAAGAACAGCGTTTAGTGGGGATATATTTAAGCAATAAGGCACGCGTTGTGTCGTGCCTACGAACAGCCCTTAGCCGTGGTATATTGGCCATATACCACAAACCCTAAGGTGCCTTATTGCTATTATAAACTGGTTACCAACATAATTAGAACAGTAAAAATACATGTTTTGTCATATCCCTGGTATACGGTCTGAAATACCACGGCTTTCAGCCAATAAGCATTCAGGGCTCGAACCAACCAGTTTATAATGGCCAATATACCACACACCTTCGGGGCTTAAAGGTATGCTGTGTTCTATGGAAAACAATGTTGGCTATTTGAGGTCAAGCTGCTATGACAATCAAATCAAATCAAATTGTATTTGTTACATTCGCCGAATACAACAGGTGTAGACCTTACAGTGAAATGCTTACTTACAAGCCCTTAACCAACAATGCAGTTTTAAGAAAAATAAGTGTTAAGTAAAAAAATAGATAAGTAAAAAATAAAAAATATAAATAATTAAACAGCAGCAGTAAAATAACAGTAGCGAGGCTATATACAGGGGGTACCGGTACAGAGTCAATGTGCGGGGGCACAGGTTAGTCGAGGTAATTGAGGTAATATGTATACTACCAGTCAAAAGCTTGGACACACCTACTCATTCAAGGGTTTTTCTTTATTTTTACTATTTTTGACATTGTAGAATAATATTGAAGACATCAAAACTATGAAATAACACATATGGAATCATGTAGTAACCTCAGTGTTAAATTTTTTAAAATATATTTTATATTTG